CCTAAATAAGTTTTCTCAATTTGGTATCAGAGCGGGTAAGATCCCGCATTGATTTCCAGTCGCCTTTGTCAGCTCCGGTCGTTGTTAGCCGCCTTCCAGTGGCCAGAATCAAGGTCGACCACCTCCGTCTGACTCGTCAGCGTCCTCCGAATCCAGTGGTTCCCTTAGTTTTTTGTTTGAGAACTGTGCGTGAAAAGCCCCATGGGTAACCCTATTCGTTGACTTCATTCATCTTTTTTTGTTCAAATGGACTCATCCTCTACCTTTACCTTCTCTGCTACTCCCACCATAACTAGTGTCAGGCTCAACTAGAAAAATTACTTATCCTAATCTGCTTCAATTGAGTTATGGTTTCTCGGTCAAGGGAATCACGACCATTTGGAGAATGATGTAGATTCTATTTCCACTGCAGAAAGGTCTTAGTGGGAGAAAATAAACTTCCAACTTTGTGCAATCTTATGACAATCTGTGGAACCGAATGTTCTTAAGCTTCTCAGGTCATTCAAAACCTGTTCTTCTTTTTGGAAAAAGGCTCAAGACATTTTTGATAATGATATTCAACATCTCTTTGATGCAACTCAAAGAGTGACGTCACTTAAGCATACCAATCACAACATAATGACTCACATCACAAAAGCTAGGGCTGTTGTGAAAGAATTAATAAAGGTTTCTTGTTGCAAATACCTTAGAGGAGGTAAACACCAAACTCAATAAGTTATATATGGTTCTAATTTTGAGAAGTTTGCATTATGACTTTGATCACGTGTGTGATCAAATCCTAGCTAGCGATCATGTTCCATCAATGGATAATCTTGTCACTAGGTTGATTCGGGTTCCTAATCTCATGGTTGATGAGAATCAAGTGGAGACTATTGAAACTTCTGTTATGGTTGCCCCTCGGGGTCGAGGGGGAGGACACAATAATCGAGGTGGACGTGGTAGTTCAAAAGTTCGTCCTCAATGCACCTATTATAATAAGATGGGACACATGTAGGAAAATTGTTATTCCTTGCATGAATTTCCTAATAAGACTGCCCATGCATTTAAATCGGAGAAACCAGATGTGAAGATTTCTTATGAGGAGTATCAGAAGTTTTTGAAGTTCAAATCTGGAAAGTTTAACCGTTAGGGTCAATCCTCTTTAATACATTTCAACTACATGTATTTCTCAATTTGTGGAAGGTCAGAACCCATTGATTCTTGATTCAGGTGCCTCTGATCATATATATGGTAATAGTTCATCGTTTTCCTTCATGTCTTATCCTAAAATTTCTCACTTAATCACTGTAGCTAATTGACCCAATGTGAAATCTCAAGGTGTAAGCCAAATTCCTTTAACCCCATCTCTAAATTTAAAATCTATTCTTTTCATTCCTAATTGCTCTTATAACTTGATCTCTCTAAGTTAACTTACTCGTTCTTTGAATTGTTTTGTAACATTTACTTCAAATTTTTTTTGTTATTCAGGAACATGGTACGGGTCGTCTGATTGGAGAAGGACATGAATCACGCGGTTTGTACTATCTAAAACCAAGTCCTTCGGTGTCTTGTCTGGTTTCTCCTGGCCCTGAACTTTTACATGATTGTCTGGGTCACCCAAGTCTATCTAAGTTGAAAGTGATGACTTATAATCTTCAACATATTCGGGTTTTAGAGTGTAAATCTTGTCAATTAGAAAAATATGTTATGTATATTTTTCCTAAACAGTCTGAAACTCGATGTAATTTTCCTTTTTCAAATATTCATTATGATGTTTGGGGATTAAGTCGTATTTCTTCTTTTGGCTTTTGTTATTTTGTGACTTTTATTGATGAATTTTCTAGATGTACTTGATTTTATTTGATGAAACAACAAATCTTAACAATTATTGCAATAGACCTTTAATAGGATCGTCTCTATGTAAACTTGTCATTGCTAACCGACGGTCATAACAATAGTTAGGATCTTCTTGCTTTGTCCTTTAATACAAGGCAGGATTCCTTGTAATGTGTAAAAAACTTTGACTGTCACAAGAAACAATAATATGTTGTTGTTTGTGCCCAAGTTCCTTAATTATTCTCTTAATCCAAATAACTTCCTTAAAATGTCTAGGTGGTTGTCATGCACTTAGCTTCTGTAATAGACAGAGTTACAACATCCTATAACTTTGATAACCAGTTATTGTTTCTCCAACAAAGGTAGATTCATCAAGATCACGTGCAAAACCTAAACAAACATAACATCTACCAATTAGTTTTGATCCTTAAAAATATAATACAATATCTAAGGTTCCTTTTATATGAATTATATTGATAATACTCATACTCTCCATTACAATATGTCATTAATCTACTAACTGTTATCACTGCTTGTGTAATGCTTAGTCTTATACTAATCATGATATTCATAAGACTTCCCACCATTGATTCATACAGTACTCTAGACATTTTCATCCTCCCTACTTAATTGCTAGGACTCATATTTAAGGATAACTTGATAGAAAATTGGGTAAAAATTGACTTACACCCTTGCATGTTGATGCACTGCAAGACCTTCAGTAAGTAATTCTTCTAATAAAGCCAAACATTCCTATCATTTTTGTCTCGATTAATTTACATCCCTAAAATATTGTTTGTTGGTCTCTAGTTCTTCATATCAGACTTCCTAACCAATTGTGCCTTCAAAACCTATATTCGAACTTTGTTGGAGCTTACCACCAACATGTCATCCACATACAATGACAAAATAATAATATCATTCTCATCAAATCTATTGTAATAGGTACAATAGTCTAAACTTAGTCTGTTGTAATCAAGACTAATCATGAAGAATCAAATCTCTTGCACTAACACCTAGACAATCGGTTTAAACCGTATAAAGATTTGGTCAACCTGTAAACCAAGTTTCCATTTTCTTTAAGTCTTCTGGTTAGAGCATACCAATCCTTTCTCTAAGTTGAATTTTGAAAACACAGACTTTCTCTTGATGCAGTACACTCATAATCTCCCGAAGTAATCATTGTCACCACTGACACAAAATATTTGGCTCCTCCTAGGGATAATACAATCGATTCCAACACATCATAATAGACCAAGTCCAATATGTGTTTCCTCTTGATACAATTTGACGAGGGACTCACAAATCTGTTTCGTTGTACCCTTCTCCGAAAATTTGTAATAATGTTGTTGTTTATTTCTTCCCATCTTTGATTTGTGATGCCCACATGTCTTTCTCCAATTGCTTCTACACAATTATCTTTTCTCAAAATTGTCTTCATCTTCCATTTCCACAATGAGAAATTATTCCCATTAATCACAAAGTATACTAAGAATTTTCTCCAACAATATTATAATGACTATTGGAGTGGAATAATACCACAAACAAGAAACCAACCATGCTCTACAGTATTATAATGACTACTGGAGTGGAATAATACCACAAACAAAAAATCAACCATGCTTTGATACTCTGATACCATTGGTAGGAAACAATATTATAATGACTATTGGAGTAGAATAATACCACAAACAAGAAACCAACCATGCTCTGATACCACTGTTAGGAATCAGAGTAACCGCATAAAAACTCACAACTAAAATAAAAAGATGAGAAAAGATAAATAAAATCGACAATAGACAATAATAAAATTTTACTACCGGAAGAAATTACAATATCTTCTTTAAATCTTAAGAGAAAAACAATAATAATATTCTTTCTAAGAAATAAGAAAATTCAATTACTATATAATGCACTAGTAAAAAAGAGAAGGATGATATTTGAGATAATTTAAAAGGTAAATATTGTGCTTATTTTACAAGGAGAAAAGTAAGTACCAATATATAATTTATCTTATGTAGAACTTTTCTTCTCACATCCTCATGATCAATGATAGATCATTAATCTTGAGGGGGTCAAATAATATATTATTAATAAATAATAAATAAATATAAAAGCAAGAAAGAAGATGAAAGGGTGAAAGGATAAAATTGTAGATATATACTTAAATATATTAAATGATTATTAAGTTTGAGAGAGATAAAATCATAAATTATATGAGAGTTACAAAACTGAGGAGGGGGTGAAAGAATAAAATTATAAATATACAAGTAAATATATTAAATGTTCATCAAGTTTGGAGGGTCAAAATCATAAATTACATGAAAATATCAAAACTTGGGGAGGGGGGTCACGGCCCCTTAAGCTCTCAAGAAGATCCGACACTGCTCATAATTGTATTGGACTTTGCAATCTAGGCAAATTATAATATAAAATAGACAAAGACAATTATATTTAACGATGATTGTAAGTGAGTTGTTAAAAAAGATGTAATAATAATTTTAAAATTATTTTTAACTTTTATATTAAATACTAGTCACATATATAAGTGATGTTATATGTCTAATTTTTTAATAAAAATTAACTATAAAATTACCGTTATATATTTCATTGAACTTTTCAATTCACTCATTTTATTTATTTTGTCTTTGTGATCCCACTCATTTTCAACACACTCAAAATAAGATATTTGGGCTCCAATACACGCAAATATCAGAATTAAGGAACTATAAATAATTTGGTTTAACAAAATTATTTACAATAAGAGATAACAAATTATGATAAAATGTATGTGAAATGCTCATATTTAAACTAATTAGGAGAGAGATTATTGTAAATGTACGTCAAATAATAGGGTGATAGCATCTACACTCTAAGTTATGTATTAAAATCAATATTCTAACAATATATAAATACCATTATTTTCCGAAAATATATATTTATTTTTATTAACTGGAGGCCTTCATAATTTTATTTGACCTTTGTTCCACAATTCTTTTTAAATAAGTTATATTTTTAAATAGTAGATACCTTTCTGCTGATATCCATTACAATACATATTCATTAATAGAAAATATTCAAATAATTCATGTTTGTGTGAAAGCATATTTTTGTCTTTCTTTAATTTCATAAAAAAATTTGAGATTTTATTATAAATTAACTTTCATTTATTGAACTTGATTCGGATGCTGAGTCAGGTGGCATCTGATTTGGCAACGTCAAATTTGGAGAAATTGATAAATGCAACACTTGAACAATCACGTTATATTTGTTGCTTCACAAGCATTACTGAGGACTTTGAAAAGGAAAAGAAAAAATTGATAGCAAAAAGGACAACTTTGGGTGAGCATGTTAAAGTGGCAAATAGAAGAAATGAAAACATAAGAAGTGATGTCGCGTCTTGGCAAGAGCAAGTTGATGAACTTATGAAAGAAGACACCAAAACAAAAGTCAGATGCTTTTTTGGATGGTGTCCTAATTGCAAATGGCAATATAGTAGGGGGAAGGATTTGGAAAGCAAGACTGAAGAGATTAAAAGACTCATGGAATGCAACTTGGAAAATGTTGGAATCCCTCGTGATGTTCCAGAAATTGAATATCATTCTTCTCAAAATTACATTTCTTTCAACAGTAGAAAGTCGGCCTATGAGAAACTTTGGAATGCATTGACAGATGAAAACAACTATATAATTGGATTGCAAGGGATGGGGGGCACAGGTAAAACAGCATTAGCAAGAGAAATGGGTAAGGAGCTTAAGAAAACAAAAATGTTTGATACAGTTGTTGATACTACAGTGTCTAATACCCCTGATACAAAAAGGATTCAAGATGATATTGCAGGGCCATTAGGGTTGCCATTGAAGGATTGTACTGAATCAGAAAGACCTAGAAAGTTGTGGGACAGATTGAAAAATGGTGAGAAAATTCTTGTCATTCTTGATGATGTGTGGGAATATATCAGTTTTGAAGAAATAGGTATTCCACCTAAGGACAACCACAACGGTTGTAGAATTCTTGTAACCACTCGCAATATGAGCATATGCAACAGAATGGACTGTGACAAGACAATTGAACTAAATGTCTTACCTGACGAAGAAGGATGGATCTTGTTCCAAAAGCATGCCGGTTTGAGTGATAGTTCTTCTAAAATTCTTATCGATAAAGGTCGTAAAATTTCCAAAGAATGTAAAGGCTTACCAATTGCAATTGAAGTTATCGCTAGTAGTTTGAAGCGCCAACAACATTTGGAAGAATGGAATGTAGCCTTAAAAGCCTTGCGAAAGTCCATGCCCCTACATGGCGATGATGATAATTGGGGTAAAGTTTTTACATGTTTGAAGTATAGTTATGACAATATGAAGAATAAAACAGCTAAGGAATTGTTCCTTTTGTGTTCTATGTTCCAAGAAGATGAAGAATTTGATGAAGAAACTTTAGTCAGACTTGCCATAGGAGCGGGCCTCATTGAGAAAATTGAAGATGATGATTACATTCATGTTTATTATTGAATTGTGGAATTGGAAGGGTAAAAATGCATTGGTTCGTGAAGTGGCTTTATCGATAGCTAACAAAGAGATTCTAGCAGTGAATACGTCTAACAAGAATAAAATGGCAGTGCTTGAAAAGGCGAAGAATATTAAATATTTGTTGTGTGAAGGTGAAAGCATGGATCTGTTTTCTTGCAAGTTTGATGGATCTAAACTTGATATTTTGATTGTCCGCTTGAATGAAAACAAAAATGATTATGTGGAAGTCCAAAATTCATTCTTTGAAAACATAATGGGGCTTCGAGTTTTGTATTTATCATCAAACGTCTTCTATGAAAAAGTAACTTTATCATTACCAGAGTCAATTCAGTCGTTGACCAATCTCCGATCTTTATACCTTCAAGGATTCATCTTAGGTGACATATCTATTCTTGGAACCCTACAGGACCTTGAGACTCTCGAATTGGTTAGTTGTGTAATGGATGATTTGTCAATAGAGATTACAAAATTGGTGAAACTTAAATTGTTGAAGTTGGATTGTAGTGAATTTAAAAGGAACAATTCATTCCAAGTGATTGAAAGTTGCACTTCATTGGAAGAATTGTATTACATCACTTATTATTCGAATGTCATTTCAATAACATCCCATAATTTAAAGCTTCCAAAATATCAAAGGTTTTGTATATTGGATCCCTCTTTTTCTTCTATTTACATAAGAGGTGAATGGTATAAGAGGAATTCCCTGGCAATTTTGATGGCTGATCGTCTTTTCTCTGAAGTGACATTCAAGAATCTAGTTCAAAAAGCAGAATATCTTTATTTAGATAGACTTCAAGGAGGATGGAAAAATCTCATACCTGAGATTATTTTGCCTCATGATGAAGGTATGAATAATAAAGTTGTGATTATTTTGGAAAGTTTAGACCTCACATGCCTAATTGACAATGCTGATTCTCAAGTACGAAATGTCTTATCCAAGTTGGTTAAGCTTGAACTTCGTGAAATGAAAAATTTGGAAGAAATATGCAGTGGACCCCTTCCCTTTGAACTTCTAAAAAGTTTAGAAGAATTTTATCTAAATGATTGTATACATTTTCAGGGGACATTGTTTAAGAGCAAGATGTACTTATCACATCTCATGCATATGAGCATACTTAATTGCCCAATGTTGACATCTTTGTTTAACTTATCACATCTCATAAACATCATTAATTGTTTTCAGTTCTAAATCATATTTTGAAATTATTGATGAAATGTGTTAATCTATTCATGAGATTATTGTCTATTAATTTATTGTAAAGCTTGGGAGGGTGAATCACTTGCAGGTAAACGACTCCAATGCAAATGAGGTAATTGGACAAGAAATGCATGTGTTTTTGAAGAACATTGCATTGAGTTATACACAGACAACTGTTACTCTACAAAACGTTACAGAGTTAGTAATTGGGGAATGTGAAAAAATGAAAGTAATGTTTTCTGCTTCTATGTTGGAGTGCTTACCATATTTGCATATTTGGATGCAGTGAATTGAAACAGATCATTGGTGACGATACAAAGAATCAGAGTAAGCCATTTTTCCCAAGGCTAGAATCACTTATCATCATAAAATGCAATAAATTGAACTGTGTCTTTCCTATTTCAACTTCCAAAATCCCACCCAAGTTAGAATATCTGGTAATCATAGAAGCAGCTATGCTAGAGGAAGTGTTCCAAGGAAAAAGTGATCAAAAAGTTGGGATTCCAAATCTAAAAATGGCAGTATTTGTTGAATTTCCAAGACTTCTGCCTGGGATTGAATCCCATGCTCTAGGTTGTTTGGTGAAGAATTGTCCAAAACTTTCCTTGTCTTCATCCTTAACCCTTGAAAGTTTCAAACATATTCGTTCTAGAATCCGAGGTACTATATCCGTTTTTTTTTTACACATTACGCTTTGGTTTTGCATCATTTTGCCTAATATTTCACATGCTTTGAATAACAAAACGTGCATGCACACTTGGTATTTCGGAAATATGTTAAGAACCTAAATGCTGTTTGTTAGTCTATTCATTAATAAACGATCAAGATAATCTAAAAAATGAAACTCTAAAGAAATTTTAATTCTTATTATTCAAATGACAACATATATATGTTTATACTTAACTTGAAAATTATGATTCATAATTATGAAGCATACATAATTTTTTATTCTTATGTACTGTAATTTTTGAAGAGCGTGTTAGAATCAGACATTGGAGTCTGCAATCTTATGTTATCGAAAAATTAGTTCGAACGATTGATGATCTTCTTGAAGATGCAAAAGCCCAAGAGACTAGCAATCAAAATCCAACTACAGAATCCACTCAAGACTCTGCAATTAGGCCTGAAGTAGAAGAAGCACCAACTGAGTTGACTTCATCACAGAAACATGCAAAACAATATGATGTTCATGTTAACTTTGCTGATGAATGCAACCAACAGGAAAGTGACATTCAGTCAAATTTGGTCAAACAAAGAAAAGAAGTAGAGGAAGAACAAGAAATAGTTGAAAAAGATACTGGTTTTGGGATACCATCAACAGCAATATCACCAACAGATTCAAAATTGATCAGAGGTCCTTTGGCAGTATGTGTATAGTATCTCACAAATTAATGTCGAAAAACTAAAGTTTTTTGTTTTATTATAATGAACAATTAACATGGAAAATCCAATTTGATATCAACCAACAACACACAAAGAAAATGATAAACTCAAGAAAATGCATTCTCTTGTTTATATATGCTTATTTTTCTCATAAATGCAGGAAAATAAACTTTATATATCTGTTTTATTATGTGTAGGAGAGTAAGACAAGCATTGAAGAAGGAATTATGTCAGGAGATGGCAAGAAAATAGCAGCACCAATTGATTTAAAATCAGTTAGTTCATCAATAATAGACCTATTCTCTACTTCTGAGTGTATAATAGATCTACAGGCAAGTTTATTTTGATGCACTCAAACTTTCAAATTTTATGAATCATGTGATTTGTCCTTCTCACAATCACAATTTTGATGGTTTATCCTTGAAATTGCACCAAATCCAAGTGAAAATATTTTAATTGTTGAGATTTAATACTACTTTTTATTCAGTGATTTTCTCTTCCTATTCCTCTCACAATGAATTGACTTTATGAACATTAATGACCTAAAAGATGATGTTATCATTCATTTATTTGAATATATATGTAGGAAAATGAAGAAGGACAAATAGCCATACCTTCTTCTTCAATTCTTAATATGGAGCCTGCTACCATCAAAGATGTTGGTCATGTTACCCATTCTAATGCTCCAGGTTATGTTATGCCTCTTGTATCTATTTTTTTTTTTAAGTCACCCATTTCATCTTGTTCTCTAAATTATGATGTTTCCATGGCTAATAGGTTTATTAACAATGGTGGCATGAAATTTGTAAAATTATATGTACTTAGTTTCTTAGCATATCTTTTTATTTATTGCATTCTAATAACTTTAATTTTCATTTAAAGGTATCTTTTATTTGTTTATTTATATTTTCTTTAGATGCCTATTTGTTTTCTTTATTTTCCCTCCTACTCTCTCCATTCCTATCCTATAGACCAAACACAACTCAAAGTTGATTTTCTCTTATAACTCAGTAACACTTTACTAATATTGGTTTGCTTTAAAAATATTGGTTCATTGAAAAACAGAAATTCTTAGAGGAAGACAAACAAATACTCTTAAACTTAACTATAAAAATAAATAGTTAAAATAAAATAAAAAAATTATCTTGTGAATTACTTTCTGAAAGGTGTTTAATCTATATTATAGGATCTGAAGTGACATCTCGGAATATATTACAAGAGACTTTAGATGATCTACGTGAGACTCTAAAGCTCGAGTATCAGAGATTGATTTGACTTCATCACAGGTTAATATAAATCAATCTATTTCTAATAACATATCTAAATTCAAATGGCATTGAATCAGATATACATTATGTTGGGAAAAATATGATGAATCTTCCCATATGGTCAGATCTGTGAAAGTGAAATAAAAGCGGAATAATTGCACACATCAATTGATAACGGAGTTCGGCCAATAATGCCTACGTCTCCGGACTACTGCAGATCTCTTAGTAGGAGAAAAGAAAAATACACAAGTGTTTACAAAACACTCTCAAAAACACTCACAACTCACAACCCAATTACACCCAGAAGCTAAACTAAAACTCTCTAGTTTTTCTGCCTCTCGCTGGTGCCACTCTTTCTTCTCTAAGAGAAGTAATATTTTTGTGTGGGATGGAATACAAATGCTTGCAGGAAGAAGACCAATTTATAGCAAAAATTGGTACTGTGCATTACCATAAAATATGTCTCGTGGGTACCTCATGCTTGAATAAAAAATTGGCAGCCACCCTTTTCTTCCGTGCTTTCGGTGCAAATGAGAAAGTTGGTTGCCCACTTTCTTTGACCAACAATCTCCCACTTGATGACCGATTTCAATCTGTCCTCACACCTTGATCAATAGTAGTCTTCTCTTGTACTGTTATTCTTGTAAGCTAAGCGAAGTTGAGCACGACTTCGGTTTGTCAATAGTCACCACCTTTGTTAGCATATCTCGTTGGGTTCTTGCTTCCCACAATTTTCTTTAATGTTAGCATCTCATCCTCAAGTAGAGATCTGATGAAATGATAACGTATGTCGATGTGTTTGGTCCTGGAGTGAAATGCTGAATTTTTTACCGGATGTATTGCACTCGACTATCACTCGTGCAAAACACTCCTTTCTTGAATGAATCCCAACTCGCCAACAATCCTTGAAGCCATATCAATTCTTTGCTTGGCTTCATCACCTGCTACATACTCGGCCTTTGTAGTGGATAAAGCAACAATCTTACGTATCTGCGACATCCAACTAACATCCGTAGTTCCAACGAGTGAACACATACCCGGTGGTGCTTCTTCGGTGATCAACTTCACCTCCAAAGTCTGCATCTACGTAGCCACTGCAATTTTAGATCTCCTTTTCTAAAATACGAGACATTTTTCGTTGTGCCTTGTAGATACCTCGGAATCCATTTGATCTGCTTCCCAATGAGCTTTTCTTGGATTTGACATGAATGCGCTTACAACTCCTACTGCATGGCCAATGTACGGCCTCGTACGGACCATCGCGTACATCAAACTTCCAATGGTTGAAGCATACGGAATCTTAGCCATTAACTCTTCTTCTTCCTTCGTTTGAGGAGGCTGATCCTTGGATAGACGAAAATGGCAAGCCAAAGGTGTATTGACTGGTTTGGCATTGTCCATGTTGAATCTCTGCAAAACACGGTTGATGTACTCAGCTTGAGATAAGCTGCAAAACTCCTTTTTGCTTATCTCTCGTGATTTGCATTCCAAGAATCTTCTTTCTTTGGGCCTAAGTCCTTCATGTCAAATTCTTTTGACAAGCTTGCTTCTTTAAGTTTATGATCTCATTCATATCCGAACCTGCTACTAGCATATCATCAACATAAAGTAGCAAAATGATATAACTGGACTTATACCTCTTGAAGAAACAACGGTGATCGGCGTTGCACTTCGGAAACTCTCCTTGTGCATGAAGCTTTCAAACTTCTTATACCATTGTCTTGGAGCTTGTTTCGGGCCATACGAGGCTCTTCTTCAATCTGCACACCAAGTTCTTCTTTCCTTCGAAAAACCTTCGAGTTGGTGCATGTAGATCTCCTCATCTAAATCTTCATGAAGAAATGCGGTCTTCACATCTAATTGCTCTAGATAGAGCTCCTCACTAGCCACAATACTTAACACGATCCTGATAGTATTGAGCTTTACAAGCTGGAGCAAAGATTTCGGTGTAGTCGACTCCTTCTTTCTGCTGAAATCCTTTGACGACCAGTCGAGCTTTGTATCTCTTAGAACCATCATGGTCTTCCTTCACTCGATACACCCATTTGTTGTGAAGTGTTTTCTTTCCCATAGGTAACTTGACTAGTTCCCATGTCTGATTTGAGATCAAAGACTTCATCTCGTCTTTTATGGCAAGCTCCCACTTGCTAGCATCCAGTGGCTTGACAAGCTTCAGTATAATCTTCGGGCTCCCCTCCATCGATCAACAACATGTAGTCCATGTATCTCTTGTTAGGCACATGAGGCCGAGAAGACCTTCTCAATACGGGAGTTGGAGTAGGAGGTTACGCTTGCACTTCGGTTTCTTCAACTGATTCCTCCGGCTGAGGACTCCTCATTATAGGATTTTACGGGATATCTTCCACTTCGCAAAAGCTGGTCCACTCGCTTCGAGTTGTTGGCACCTGTATTATGCCTGTCCTTGTACATCACTCTTTCATTGAAGATTACGTCTCTGCTGCGGATCATATTTTTGTTTTCATCGTCCCATATGTGGTATCCAAACTCATCTTCACCATAACCAAGGAAAGTACATTTCTTTGATTTTGGATCAAGTTTGTTTACGCCTTGATCAACGATATGCGCATATGCTACACGACCAAAAACTCTAAGATGTGAGAGTTTTACCTCTTTTCAGCTCCATACCTCTTCCGGTATCTTGTGCTCTAATGGTACCGATGGACTTCGATTGATCAAGTAAGCTGTTGTGTTGATTGCTACGCCCAAAGCTGCTTTGGTAAGCCTGATTGCACACGCATGCTTACGGCCCTTTCGATCAACGTTTGATTCATACGCTCAGCTACACCATTGTGTTGAGGCGTACCGGCACGGTTCTCTCCATTCGATTCCGTGCTCATAGCAAAACTTCTTGAATCCGGTGTCTACATATTCACCACCATTGTCGGATCTGAGCTTCTTAATCTTCAATCCTGTCTCATTTTCCACCATAGCTTTCCAAATCTTGAAAGCTTCAAATACTTCTGACTTATATTTTAGAAAGTAAACCCATACCTTTCTAGAATGATCATCAATGAAAGTCACGAAGTAATGCTTCCCACCAACGGATGGGACGGTCGTTGGACCCTAAACATCAGAGTGGATGAGCTCAAGCTTCTCTTTCTTTGGGGTTCTTTTACTTGTTTGAAAGTTGACTCTCTTCTGCTTTCCAAGTATGCAGTCTTCACACATGTCAATATCTACTGATTGAAGACCTGGTAATTTTCCTCTCGAGTGCATGGCCTTCATTCCTTTCTCACTCATATGTCCAAGTCTTTGGTGCCATATGTTGGAATTTTCATTTGTTGCAACTGCAATCAAATGACATGCTCCTAGCGATCTTGTAGAGAGTTCCACTCTTTTTGCCTCGAGCAATCGTCATCGCACCTTTTGAGATCTTCCATTCATCACCGTGGAAGATTGTCGTATAGCCTTCACTAGCTAAGCGACCTACCGAGATTAAGCTCTTTGTCGGGTCGGGAATATGTCCGACATTTTTCAATTCTCATACGAGACCCATTCGGCTTAATCCTTCATCGCACCTTTGCCTATATTCTCACATGATTGTTCATTACCAAGGTAAACCTTACCAAGGTTTCGGGAACATAATTCTCCAACAGTTCCTTACGTGAGGTAGCATGAAAAGATGCTCCGAGTCTAACACCCAAGACTCCTCCACGCCTTCAAGAGAGCATATCAACGCCTCATCTTTTCCTGAGGTGGAGGCAACGTTTGCTTCGTCCTTTGCTCCTTGATTCTTCGTGCACTCTTGCACTGGTTTCTGAAGTGTCCGGTCTTCCCACAATTCCAACATTCGATCGACTTTGAGTTGTGGGAACTACGATGATTTCTGGACTTGGACCGCCTGTCCTTTGATTTTCCATGTCTAATTTATTTGGTTGAACTTCTTCCTCTTGACTCTGTATGCAATAATGAAGAGGTTGATGCTTCACCCGACTCTCTCCGCCGGATCTCTTCGCTGAGAACCAAATTTTGATCATCATTAAATCTTAACTTATTATTTCTCGATGAGCTACTCACAACTGTGACCGTAGCATTCCAACTCTCTGGTAGGGAAGACAAAAGTATTAAAGCCTGTACTTCATCATCGAATTTGATGTCAATAGAACTCAACTAGGTTGTTACAGTGTTGAGTTCATTGAGATGATTTGCCACCGAAGCACCTTTAGACATTCGCAGGTTGAACAATCGCCTCATCAAGTGAACTTTGTTTGAGGCTGATGGTTTCTCGTACATGTTGGAAAGAGCCTTCATGAGATCTGAGGTCGTCTTTTCTTTCGCAATGTTAAAAGCAACATTACGGGATAATGTTAGACGAATAACTCCAAGAGCCTGTCTATCAAGGAGACTCCATTCTTTCTCTTTCATGGTTTCTGGCTTCTCCCCTGTGAGTGGTTGATGCGTCTTCTTCTGATACAGATAATCCTCTATCTGCATCTTCCAGAAGCCAAAGTTTGTACCGTCGAACCTTTCAATTTTCATTTTTCCTTCGTCTGCAGCCATCACTCCAACTC